GAGCCCCGGGTCCCCCGCTGGTCCTGCGCCCGGCCCTGCACCTCCCTGCGGGGCTGACCGCTGAGTGGAGCCTGGGGGCCGGGCGGGCACCTGGCCGGTTTACTCTGTAAATTAACTTAATTTTGCTGACTCAGGCCTCTCCTGTGCTCCACCCCGGGGGGAGCTTTGAGGGCAGTTTCAGGCTGCAGGTGCCTTGGGGGTGGGGATGGCTCGCTGTGACCAAGACTGGAAACCGCGACCACATTGGAGCTTCTGGACTCAACTGGGTGACCTGTCCCCAAAGATGATATTCTGTTTCATGTGCCACTGTGATTAGCTCTTTACCTTTTTTTTAGTCATTTTTTGGTTTAATTATAAACGTAGTATGCATACATTGCAAATATATATATATATATTCAAATAGTACGAAGGGGTTATAAAATTAAGAAGTGGAAAAAGAAAACCCACTTCCTTTGCTGAAGTGTCTGCGGGGACAACGGTGTCTGAGTGCCTCGGGCCCCAGGCCGGACGTCACGTTGGGTTGTTGAACGGGTCGCAGCGGGAACGTGCTGGCTTCTGACCCTTTCTGCTCATCCTGTTTCTCCCCCTCGTTCCCTACCCGTCCCCTCTTCCCTCCTCTCCTTCTCCGAGCCTGGCCCTCAGCTGGCTTGTCACTTTGGGTGCCGTCCAGGAACTGGACATCTGCATTTAGCTTCGCTTGCTCCACCTCCTGGCCTCGCACAGTTTGTGCCCTGTGACAGGCCTGTGCGGCGCCGCGCAGCGTGGGCATGAGCTGACACTCGGCTCGCCCAGCGCTTTCTCAGGCCGGCCGGCCGGCCTCCGTTGGTGTTACCTCCTCGGAGGCTGTGACTCGGTGTTCCAGTGTCGTTGGCCATCACTGTCGGTGCTGTAACCTCCCTCACAGTGCTGGGGCTCTGTATACCATATCGTAATGGGAGGGAGTAACGTGCAGAATGAGACGGAGCCCCCCCACCCCCCCGGTCATGACTCATCTGTCGTGTGACCGTGTCTCCTAGGACAGGGCCATGCGGGCTCACAGCTTCCACGCCACCTTGTCAGGCCCCAGAGGCAAATGTGAGCTCAGCTGCCCCCTTTCAGGCGTCTGGCATCACGGAGCTAAGAGACAACATCCTCTTTCTCCAAGCCCCGTCGCACTGGACAAGCGCCAAGCTGCGTTTCCCTTGCTGCGTGGCCCATGCATCCTCCGCTGCGATGCCCTTTCTCTCCATTTGTTCCCCGGCTCTTCCACCTTTGGAAGGGATGTTAGGTTTGGCCATCATGCTGGTCTGGACACTAGTCCAGCGAGTGTGTCCCCCGCGGTCCACGCCGTTCGTGTAGGTGGAGTTATGGTTGCAGAACCAGTGGGCTGTCTGCACCAGCAGGGAGCAGAGCTGCATTTGCTGTCAACCCTGACTTTGCCAGACGGGGTGAAGGTGTCATCCTCTCCATGTGGCCCTTGGGAACTCTGACACCAAGAGTTAGTCACAATCTATGTGCAGTTCTTGGCTTAGGAGGCACCTCTGCTTCCTGCGCCCACAAATGCAGCCTTGAGCCGAGGACAGCTGCATCAGATACTCAAAAAGAAAGCTGAGATAATGTGAGGTGGGGGAGGAAGAAGTGTCATACCAGCGTCGTCCTCTGTGGGAAGAACTGTACGGCCATAGCGGCGTGCCCCCTCCCCCAGACCGCCTGGAAGAGCGGAGGGGTCTGTCTGGTGGGGACCCTTGGCCCCCGGTGTTAAGTGTGAATATAGACGCAGGAAGGCATGAAGGAAGCCCTTCCTGACTTTGTCCCCCACCCTCCCGCCAGGCTAGGCAGCTGGGGCTTCTAAACGCCCTTCTGACCCTTCACCTGAGCGTTGTTCCAAGGAGG